CTTTACCATTTATTTTTCCCAGTTTTTAATAGCTTTGGCCATGGATTCCTGGTCTCTTTCGTCATCTCAAACTTTCTTTCCTTACACTCGATCATACTCATATATATCCACCCCTTTGTGACTATATAACCACTGCCTATTTTGAAATCTCCTAAAACTTTATGTATATAATACCATACCGTAATTATAAAAAAATTCAAAATTACGGACATATGTTTATTTTAAATTACTGTAATGGATATATTGACACATTCAGAATTCAGCATGAATATGAATTTATAATAACACAACAACAGAGATTTCTTTGGTACCATTTATATATGTTATAAGCAAAAAAATTTGTTGGCTTATTAAATGCAGGTTGCGACTTCTTTTAACAGTTACCAGAATCTCTTGCAGGCTTTAGGTTTGTTTCTTTTTTCTTTTTTCTTTTTTTTCGGAAGCGGTTTGTCTTTGTACACTTATACTTACCTGAGATTTTTCGGGGCTTGAAGTTTTGTGGGCGTTCACCAGTAGATGATATTTATGGTCATCTCACCGAAAGACGAGCTAAGAGTTCCGGCTCTGAAGAAGCAATCGACATAGCTTGAATTTGTAAAAGATGAAAATTCAATTTAATATTATTAATCTATAGAGGGTGCGTTTTTTCTTTCAGTTTCAGTTCGTACTATTCAAATATATTTTTCATGTGAAAACAATAAATTCAATGCATTTAATTTGAAATTAATGACAAGCAAAAATAAAATATTCTACTTTATTTCATTCTTCACATAAGATGAGGATGAGTAAAAAAAAATACGAATATCTATATTATGGAATTTATTTTTTCTCTTTCTCTTATTCTGTTTTTTTTTTTTTGAGATCCACTCTATTATATATATATATATATATATATATATATATATATATATATATATATATATATATATATATATATATATATATATATATATATATATATGCCGGAAATAAAGTTATCTTATATTTAGAGGAGAGAGAGAAATTTTTCTTACAACCAGTCTAATAATAAAAAATTCTAGGACATGTTTGGTGTATAATATAGGATAAGGCCTAATAGTATATATATAACCTGATTAGATTTTAATACTATCCAACGTTTGATATGATATTGTATAAGATAATACATTATATAAGCTAATACGATCCAATATTTGATAATGCACTATATAATACTAGATAGGATAAAAATAATTATTTTAAACAAAAATATCCTTTAATAAAGAATTTATATAATTCTTCCAAATATGTCATGATATGATATTAATTTTTATAAAAATCTATTGATCATCATGTTCAAAAAATATATTAATTTTTATAAAAATAAAAATCTACAATATTTTAAAAATTAATATATTGAAAAATTATTTTATTTTAATATATAAATATTAAAATAATATATTAATTATCGAGAATTACACCAATTAGCGATGTTAATACTTAATACATTAATTCCTTATCAGGCCTAATCTCACCCCTATAGGCTTGATTAAGTTATACATCATTTTGATATATTAAGAGACTCTACTGTATAAGCTTATACTATACGATGGTCACACCAAACAACTAAAAATATCATAACATATAGTATAAGCTTATACTATCAACTCTTATACATCACACCAAACAGACCCTTAGAGCCTGTTTGGATCATTTTTTTTTTTAAGCTAAAAGCTACTTATAAGTTAAAGCTAAAAAAAGAGTTTAAAAAATAACTAAAAGTTGGTTGATGATTACATAAAATTTATAACTTACAAGCACAAAATTTATAACTTACAAGCACATTTTTCAAGAAATCTCTCTTCCTCTATCTTTATACCTATTCATTTTAAAAAAATGCACATCATTCAAGAAAAACTAACAAGAGCTTAAAAAGAAAAGCTCATATACAAAGATTAAGAATTAATGACTAAGAATTATTATTTATGTCGGTATAAATTATGAAAAATATTAATCTTATGTGGTATAGACAACCAATTTCTCCTACTGACTCAAAAAGACATGGGTCCCACTTCATTTTTTTTTCTCTTTTTTTGTGTAATGAGACCTACCGTGTTTATATATCTATCGCATAAGATAAGATATCTCCAACTGTTCGAAAAAAATATAATCCATAAATTATATTCACGATCTTGGTCGTTAATTATATTTATATATAATGACTTAAACTCTCTTTAGTTAAATGAGACAATATATGAATTCATCAATGAGTAAAAATGAGTGCAATGGGAGAATAATCTGCCTTTTTTTAAATATAACAATCTCAGGTATAGTATTTTTTATGGAAATAACATCTGTCATTTTAAAGGATATAAGCTTATAACATTTTAGATCATAACCGTTGATTTCCGTCCATTAACGGTTATAATCTATTGGATCAAAAATATTAATTAATTAATAATAAATTTGGCCCATTAAATTTGACCCAATAGATTATAACCGTTGATGGACGGAAATCAACAGTTATGATCTAAAATGATATAAGCTTATGTCCTTTAAAATGATAGATTTTTTTCCATTTTTTATTATGATATTATCTCTATCTTTCATTTTAATTTGATATTTTCTCAGTTCTCAGGGGAATGGCTAGACAAATTGTATCATGTGAAAAGCTTTTAAAAAAAGGAAATACTACTCTCATTTTACATGAGATAGTTATCTCATATTTTTTCATTTTCGAAAATCGTATCCCCTCTTCTTCTTTTTCTTTATGCTTTTTAATGGTAGGCCCCACTTGGATTCTCTCTATAGCATGAGAGAACTACTCTCATGTAACACGAGATAATATTCCCTTAAAATAAAGTGACAATGTCGATGGAAGACTAAGCCCTCGTGCATGGAAAAATCTATAATACTATGGTAGTATGTACATCTAATCAATAATAGTATCACACATCAGCAGACAAGTTAATGAGGAGAGAAATTTTTTTTTTTTGTTATTATAAATATATACTTCTCAAAATATATAGTTATAATATTACTGTCGCATCCAGTAATTGATGCAACTGTGCTCTCCTCATGCAGACAACAATAGCAAAAAACCAATTATACTTCTATTTGTCATATTGATATATATAATTTAATTTTAATTGATGTATACATTATCCAATCTCATAGTATTATATCACTAAAAGATCGTCTTAAATCTGTATTAAAAAAAAGATCGTGTTAAATAAATTTAAGAAGAATGACTAATTGCTTAAGAAATGTACCTTAAGTTTTTTTTTTTGAATAAACAAAAGAGATATTATTTTTTTATATTAAAATGGAAGTATTTGACAAAGAAATAAAAATTTATTGAAAAATCAAATTTTCAATACCACATCCCAATATAAGAGACCGATTATACTTACGACTTCTATTAATGCTAGATCAATTTTGGATTAACACATGTCATGTCTTTTCCACTTCCTCTATTAATTTAGTATTAATACATGTAATAGTCAGAGCCCTCAGAGATGGTAAGTATTAATGGAAGGTAAATATAGACGACCTCTTTTAATAATATCAAATCGATTGTTTAACGAAAATAATAATAATAATAATAACATCAAATTGATTCGCTTTTACCAATGGTATGCCACGAGAGTTTTCACCTTTTTTTTTTAAATAAATAGTAATGTGAATTAATCAAATGACTAATATAACCAACCTGAAATAAACATAGAGCCATTTGATTTGCCAAAAAAATGTAAAATATAATAAAAAATATTTAATTGTTAAAAGAGTATAAAATTTGAACAAGAAAATAACTCAAGGGATATTAGAAATATAGAATATTGTTTACGATGTAAGAATAGAAAAAGTCCACGTAATTCTTACCTATTCATTATCTAAATTTTATTGTGCATAAATTCATACATAATATCATATTTTTTATATAATGATTGTACGAAGATTTGAATTTAAAATCTCATACAAATTATCAGAACTCCTTATTAGTTATCACTATTCCACTATTATCACATGACTCAATCATTTGTGATTTAAAATTTTTACGTGAATTTGTAATTTAAGCGTATGTATATATTTTTTTGCTTGAATATATCAATTTCGTGAGGTATATTATAGTTATAATCTTCTTTCTCTATAATCTTATACAATTATTTTTGTTATCGTTTGATCAAAATCAAATCAATGATTGTAAAATAGTGTCACATAAGAACTATTAAATTAACTTTGATCCAACAATAATAAAAATGATTGTAGAAGATTGTAAGAGCAAACATATTGTAAATTTAACTTCCCTCCATTTTTGTATGTTTAAAATTTAGAAAATGAATCATTCTATGATAGATGAGCATAGTCGTCTATAAACAAATCAACGGTGATAAAATACAAGAATATGCTAAAAAATGATGAAAATATCTCCACTAATTTATCTATAAACAATTGAGATTATCTCACACGAATTTGGGAATAGATCATTTTATGTGTTATTTTGACATTATCATGTTATGCGAGAGAATTCTAATCATCCACAATGATCAACGATAATAATTTTGTAACTATTTATTATAATATTTTTTTTTCTTATCACTATCGATTCACCTGTGTATGATTAAGATTCTATATATGATCACGTTGAATAACATATGAGACGATTCACTTCCTACCAGGTTATATTTATTCCGAACATATTTAAGTGCGTTCAAATTTTTTATTTTAAAACAAGTGTATAAATTTTTTAAAAGAAAAAAGCAAGTGATCTAAAAAAATATAAGTGAGGATTACTTAGTGTTTCACCTCTATATGATTAGAATTTCAATTTTATTTTTTCTCTTTTCTTATCGCAATTGATTCATCTGTGTATAATTAAAATTTTATCACATGATCATAATAACACGTTGAATTATTACTCCCACAAGTTTATATGACATGAAAGTATCCATTCTCGAACATATTTAAGTCTTTCAAATTTTTACTTTAAAAACAAGTGTGTAAAGTTTCTAAAAAAAAACAAAACAAGTGTGTAAATTTGCTCGTTCGGCAAGAAATCACCAGAAGCGACGACCATTGAATCAGACTCGACTTACGTTTTCTGTGACTTCCAATTTTTTAAATTTTTCATTAAATGATATTATTTATTATGATCAATTAAAATAATATAAAAATTGTGTATATATAGCTGAAGAAAATTCAGAAGAAGCAACAGAAAGTCCTTTCACTTTCCCTGTCTTTTGAGTATTGACTGTTTCGAATCCCTGCTCTTGTTGAGGTTCTTCCTTAATGCTCCTTTTCACTTTCCTTCTTTAATTTCCCTCTTAATTCATTTATGTTCATATGTTTATGCTTTTTTATGATTTCTTATTTTTGCATGATCTAGTTTTGCTTCATTGCTTGGTGTCTTTGATTTTGTGTTATTCTAATGCATTTTTTTTTTTTTAAAAAAAATTTCTGCACAAATAAATGTTCCGGAGCTCATTTTTTGCTGATTTGATTGCTCAGTGTTAGCAATTCGGGGAAGCACCGTAGAAGTGGATTGACCCAGCACTGCACGGGTTCGTAGCTGAAGAAAAAGGTTTGATTTTCTTAGCCGTATATGCCTGAATATTCGTTCTTGTTATGCTTATTCGGTGCTTGTTTTCCTTAGTTGCTTTTTTTGGGTAGTTACTATAGTTTTTTTTATATTATTTTTGCTATCAACTCCTACTGTGTTTCCCCTCACCCAGCTCAAATAAGCTTCCATGTGACATTGAATTGTGAATTCTTGATGAGCTTTGTATAGAATCAGCTTGGTTTTTTTTTTTTTCTTTCTTGATGTAAAAATCCAATTTTGGTAACTGAAGCCCTACCAAACCTGTTTTAATGTAATTTAGTGAGTAATGGGCCATGAGGGGCTATGGTTTTAAGCAAAATGGACTTTGGGATTAATTTGGAAGTCTCTTGACTAACAAGTATTTGTCACTGAGTTACAGGTTTGGGATGGGTTGTGACTTTTCCAAGTGCTCAGCATGCTGCTGCGTTGCAGATCAAGGTGGTCAGGTTCCTGAGACTCACATTGATGGTAAGTGATGGAAGTGTTCCTCCTTTCTGTTCTTGTTGGTCTGAGAGTGATTGCTATTTCTGAGTTTATATTTTATGTTCAGAAAATGAAGACAACATTGAGGGCAACGGCTTGCCCCCGTTTCGTGAATACACAATTGATCAGCTTAGGAAGGCTACGGCTGGATTTGCTGTAGAAAATATAGTTTCCGAGCATGGAGAAAAGGCGCCAAATGTGGTCTATAAAGGGAAATTTGAAAATCAAATGCGAATTGCTGTCAAACGGTTCAACAAATCAGCCTGGCCAGAGGCACAGCAATTTTTGGTACGTATGTGTTGGTTTATGCGCCAACTCCGTGTAAATTTGTTATTTTAAGTGTTTGTTATAGGTGTCCGTTAAAGGCTTTCTGGTATAACGTCGCAACCTCTTGTTCGTTTTACCGAACTTTTATTGGTTTTAACAGCTGAATCAATTATTTCGTTTTGTACACGTGTGTCTTGCTGAGAACACACGGAGATCTTATGAAATTTGGGGTAACGGCTGAATTGTTTATTAGTTTGTTTTATACACGTGCGTCTGTTGTTTTCGCACATATGCATTTCTTTATCAAGGATGTACAACAATTTTTCGGTAAGCATGTGCCGGTTTATGTGCCAACTCCGTGTAAATGTGTTATTTTAAGTGTTCGTTATGAATGTCTGTTGCAAGCTTTCTTGTATGCTTCCTCATTTTAATAATGTCGCAATCTGTCATTGGTTTTACGGTACTTTAATTGGTCTTAATGGCCGCATTTATTATTTTTGTTTGGTGCAGTGTGTCCCGGATCCTACGGGGTTCGGGGAACGGTTGAATCAATTACTAGTTTGTTTTTTGTACGTGTGCATGTTGTTTTTGCACATTTGCGTTTCTTTATCATGGATGTACAACAATTTTTGGTAAATGTGCCAGTTTATGAGCCTACTCCATGTAAATTTGTTAGTTTTGAGTGTTTGTTATAACTGTCTGTTACAGGCTTTCTTGCATGCTTCTGCATTTTAATAGCGTGCAATGTCTAATTCGTTTTACTGTACTTTTATTGGTTTTAACAGCTGAATTAAGTATTTTGTTTTGCGCACGTGTGTCCTTAGCAGGATACGCGGAGATCCTATGGGGTTCGAGGGAACGGCTGAATCAATTATTAGTTTGTTTTATACACGTGTCTGTGTTTTCGCACATTTGCGTTTCTTTATCAAGGATCAATTATAAGGGGAACAACTGAATCAATTATTAGTTTTTTTTATACACGTGTTTGTTGTTTTTGCACATTTGCATTTCTTTATCAAGGATAAATCATATAAGACAGTCTAACTTAAGTGTGCATTGCATGGTTTAATGCCTCCTAAGTCATGCGTGGCCTGATGACATCTGTATTTCTTGTTTCCGTTCAATATTTACCATTGGTGTGCAACGTTTTCATATGTCATAGATATTTTATATATAACGTGCAAGATCTATCAATATAATTAACTTGGTCAAGGAATTTTGGTGTGAAATTTATATCTAGTTCCACTTGCCAATAATGGTTGGCTAGTAGTATTGAACAGCATCGACAAGAAGGTCTTGACTTCAATTCCTGCTAGTGGCCCTTCATTGGTAAGTAATCACTTATAGCATTTGATGTAAAAGCTTCAAACATCTTGGCGATGGAATTGTGGCTTTTAGTATTTTCCTTTTACATGTAGTGCCAGTTGAAAATTTTCCACCATATTCATTAATTTTCCCCCGACATGGTTAGTGATGTGATTTTCTTCTTTCACTTAAACATGCTTTTCATTATTAGTTTGTTAAAGAACCTTCTTTCCCCTTTTCAGGGAGAGGCCAGGGCTGTTGGTCAGCTACGGAACCAAAGATTGGCAAATCTGATTGGATGTTGCTGGGATGGTGATGAGAGGATGCTTGTTGCAGAATATATGCCTAACGAAAATTTGGCGAAGCACTTGTTCCATTGTAAGTACATAACTGGCAACTAATTCAGTTTCCCTGCACTAGCTCTGGCATTTATCTTTTTGTATTCTAAATAGAACTCTTATTCAAGCAGTGGCTGAAAGCAATCAGGTATCATTAGGCAACCTTTAATTGAAAGTCCCATTGCTAGATGGCTCTTTCAAAATTGTTTGCCTGGGAATTTGTTTTAAATTGAAGGAAATTCATTGCCATCACTCTCTTGTACTCTTTCAATGTTACTTGGTGAACAGTAGATGTAATTCTTTGTTGCCATTACTTTTTGCTGTCATTCTCTTGAATACAGTTCGGTGACTTTTTTTTTAAACATTTTTTTACGCAATACATAGGGGAAACTCAGCCCATCAACTGGGCAATGCGACTGAGAGTTGCTTTACACCTTGCCCAAGCTCTGGAGTACTGTACCAGCAAAGGACGTGCACTATATCATGATCTAAATGCTTACAGAGTTCTTTTTGATGATGTAAGTTCATTTCCTTTATCTGTGGTGCAAATCATTATTTCTCATGGTTAGGTTATGGGGGGATGGTACTTGAAAATGCAGATATGTTAATTGTCTTTTATTTTTATGAAGTGATATCCAGGACACAATCTAATTGGTGTAATCTGGGAAAATTTTAATACAATTGATAGAACGATATTAAGTATACAATTGAATCGCATAAAAATTAATAAATATCATTTAATATTGATAACCCACTTCACTTTACTAGTCAACAAATTAATATTTATTTGCTCAAGTTTCTGTCTACAAAAAAAAATTCAGACTTCATGCTCTGAATTAATTTAAAATAATTAATACACAATGATTGGAAATGTAGCCCGGGTTCATACTTCCCAAATTTAAAAGGTAGTTTGAATGTGGGAGTTGTTCTTATTTTACCGGAGGGTTTTGGATTGGCCCCTCCCGATCATATTTCGCTTGAGATGAAAGAAAAGATAAATAATCTGTCTTTTTAAAGCTATCATCCCACAAAAGAAAATATTCTTGTGGTAGACCTGTTTCTGTTCAGAAATATAGTGAAATCACTTTTCTTATTCTTTCCCTGATCCCACTATTAATAGAGATGTTCACTTTTTAAAGTATTATATATACGAGGGGCGGGAACAGGGGGAGGAGTCAGATTTATTTCGAAGGTACAAGAGTAATTAATAATGTTTACAACACTGCAACAACAGGTATAATAAACAAAATCACACAGAAAGAAAAGGGGGGGTACAAGATAACTACAGGGGATGCGGGATGCAACAGATGAACATGAAGTGATTGATATTATATCTCCAAGACTTCACATAGTAAATTATATAAATCTACTATTTTTGTGGAAATGGAAATGATGTAGGAAGTTTATGAGCACCAAGATATAGAATTGACCATTGTTCAGTATTGTATGACCTTTAGACTGGGTACAGACTAGGATGAAGAGTAAGTGGCCATGTACTTGGTTAAGAAGCGAGGAAAGGGCAATGATAGTGGGTGGAGCTGTGGAAGCAACTGCCATAAATTCTTGTGTTCTGAGCCTGAATAATAAGTGTTGACTATCTTTTTTTCCTTGTTATTCAGGACTTCAATCCTAGACTTTCATGCTTCGGTCTCATGAAAAACAGTCGAGATGGGAAAAGTTACAGTACAAATTTGGCATTTACTCCACCTGAGTATCTGAGGACAGGTACTCCCTTAAACAGGATATTATTTTCATCACAAAATTATGTTAATGGATCTTCTATGACTGTGCTTGTGGATTGAACATCAGTACCATGCTCATGAGTTTTCAGATGTATTAATCGTCTTTTTTTCTCTCATAACATTTGTTTCTGTTCTCCCTGTCTTTTCATGTAGTTTTGCCAACTTGAAAGGGTATTGTGCTGTAGACTATAGTATAAATGATAGGAATGTCTATGGAGATTGGGGTATGGCTTTTTCAAGGGTCTATTTAACTTGCATACTATTCTTTCTTTCTTAGGGCATAAGGTTTTCTATGGAGAATTCCTAGAGATGCAAAATAAGGTTTCGTTGTCATTGCTTTTACCTTTATTTGGCTGGTCAACTTGGCTCAGAACTTATAGTTCATAGGGTTGAAATGTTCTTTATAAGTAGCTCGTGGTTGATTTTTGCAAACAAAAATTGTGTAAGTTGGAATGATCAATAGAATTCTGTATTATCCTTTTTGTCGCCAAAAAAACCAAAAACTAGAAAAGGGTAAAGGAACTAAAATGTCTTCATATAGTACAGTGTGAAAATAGTTTCTCATTATGAAATAAACCAGATGTCAGCTTAAGTCATCAGTACGTCTTGTAATATGATATTAATTATCCCTTGGAGCTAAAATGTCTTCATATAGTACCTCTTCAACAATTTTACTTTTGAAATATTATCATTATCATTAATTTCTTCTCATTTTTCTGTCCGTTATGAAGAACCAACTGGCTAAGATTATTGATGTGTAACTATTTAGTCTTTAGACTAGTTCTTCTGCAAATTTTGTTCTTTGATCAATTTATTGCTTTCACGTTTCTCTTTCTATGCTTTTAATCCAATAGATGAGTTATTTCTGTGGAGGTTCATCATTGATGTTGAGGATATTTGACCATGTTTGGCTGGAACTGATGGGGCCATGGCCCTGTTTGATTTATCTTTTTGTCAGAAACAGGTTGATATTAGGAGTAGAAATATAATTCTTATCCCCTCCCTCAAATGGAAAAAGAAACAGTTCTATGACATGATGATCCAATCATTATGTTCATTTTATATCTCATGTTATAATTATAAATATATGATGGCAATGTGTCCTCCTTCCTTTCCCATGGTCATGCAGGTAGAATTACTCCAGAGAGTGTAACTTATAGCTTTGGTACCCTTTTGCTTGACCTTCTCAGCGGAAAACATATTCCTCCAAGCCATGTAAGTTTCTTTCCTTGATAAAAAGTTACGCTAACCAAGCTTAGTGTTCCCTGTCAGATAATATTGTAAGTATGTACCCTCAAAATACACGAACTTCTCAACATATAAACACCAAAAGAAAAAAAGAAAAAAAAAAAAGCAAGCAAAAGAGATAACTTCTTCCCCTTCATCTAGCTGAAATTTCGTAAGTAGCCTGTTGAGAATATTAAATTGCCCCTTTTTTTTCTTGGACAAACATGAAGGCCGAGTTTTCTGTATTGAATATTTTTTTCTGTATATCTAATGTTTTGCTTTCATGATTTTTTGCAGGCCCTTGACCTGATTAGGGACAGGAACTTTCAGATGCTAGTCGACTCTTGTTTAGAAGGACAAATTTCAAATGACGAGGGAACTGAATTAGTGCGTCTAGCTTCACGATGTTTACAATCTGAACCGGGAGAGCGTCCTAATCCAAATTCGTTGGTCACTGCCCTAATCCCTCTACAGAAGGATTCTGAGGTTAGCGGTCTTAGAAGTGGTTCAGTGATAGAAACTGAGAATGTGCTGGAAAATGAGATTAGCTGTCTTATAAATGGTTCAGTGATAGAAACTGAGAATGTGCATGGAAATGAGATTAATTGTCTTAAAAGTGGTTCGGTAATAGAAACAAAGAATGTGCAGGAAAATGAGATTACCTGTCTTAGAAGTGGTTCAGTGACTGAAATCGAGAATGTAATTGAAAATGAGAATAGCCATCTAAGAAGTGGTCCAGTGACAGAAATCGAGAATGCAATTGAAAATGAAAATAGCCGTCTTAGAAGTGGTTCGATGACAGAAATCGAGAATGTAATTGAAAATGTGATTAACCGTCTTAGAAATGTGCAGGAAAATGAGAGAAAGTGACAGATGAAGTTGAAAGCAATGTAACTAAACTATCTTTGTATATATGTTGACTTAAGAAAAATGAGAGAAAGTGATAGATGAAGTTGAGAGCAATGTAACTAAACTATCTTTTTATATATATCTATATATAGACTTAATGTTCTGAGTACATGTTACGAAATTTAAAGATGTAGATGACCTATCTAAGCAGTGAAAATGAGAGAAAGTGATAGATGAAGTTGAGAGCAATGTAACTAAACTATCTTTGTATATATATATAGACTTAATGTTCTGAGTACATGTTACGACATTTAAAGATGTACATGACCTAACTAACCAGTGAAATAGATTATTATAACCTAATACTGATTCTAGTATTGGGAGCTACTAAGCTCTAGACCTAACTAACCAGTGAAATAGATTATTATAACCTAATACTGATTCTAGTATTGGGAGCTCCTAAGCTCTAGGGGTGGCAATTTTGGTTGACACGATACTGTACGATACGAAATTGACACGAATACGAGTATGCTCTACATGATTGCGATATGAACTTGAAAATGGGTCAAAACCTTCGACATGAACATGTCCAACTCATTTTGCGGGTTGACACGACACGATCCAAATAACCCGCCAACTTCAAAGTGTGTCGCTTATTATGCGAGTTGATACGACGCGACACGAATAACTCGCTAACCTTAAAGTGTATTGCTTATTATGCGTGTTGATACAACATGACACGATCCAAAGTGGTTCAGTGATAGAAACTGAGAATGTGCATGGAAATGAGATTAGCTATCTTAGAAGTGGTTCAATGCTAGAAACGAAGAACCTGCACGAAAATGAGATTAGCTGTCTTAGAAGTGGTTCAGTGACATAAATCGAGAATGTAATTGAAAATGAGAATAGCCATCTTAGAAATGGTTCAGTGATAGAAATCGAGAAAGTAATAAAAAATGAGAATAGCTTTCTTAGAAGTGGTTTAATTACAGAAATCGAGAATGTAATAAAAATGTGGTGTATTTGATCACTTAGCTCATTGGTGGTGGTCCTCATCACGGACTTCCCCTGGATCCGCCTGACACTAATGACAGCACAGTAAGCAACATAATAACAATACAACACAATCTCTTACATTCGGCACAGTTTATTTTCTTAGACAAGGATAGATGGACTTAATACTTCAAATGAGGATAGCTGTATGCAATTTTTGTTTTTACTGATGTTTCCCTATTTGATGTCATCATTATGAACAGTTTATATTTGCAAGCCTGGTTTTTGTCTGTGCTTAGTACTAAAGCCATACTTTAACAAGCTCGATTTGACTATGAATGTTTTTTATTTTATAGGTTCCTTCTCACGTGCTGATGGGTATACCAGATGGTACTTCTGTGTTTCCCCTTTCTCCTCTTGGGGAAGCTTGTCTACGAATGGATCTGACTGCCATACACGAGGTGATGGAGAAAATTGGGTATAAAGACGATGAGGGTGCAGCAACTGAGGTTTGTTTGTTATATGTAAATATAAATTGTAGAACCTGTAATAAATCATGTAAAGCTATTGGTCCTTTGTTATTTATTTTCATTCATTTTCCCTGCCATTTTTTGTGTTGTCTGGATTATGGAGTAAATGAAAGGTTATGTTTGAGCCTGATATAATTCATTGTTGCTTTTGTTGTTTTATTTTTGCTCGTAGGAATTCATTGGGTCCTTTGTTTGACACTTTGGCTCTAATGGATCATTCGGTTCATTGAAATGCTTTTAGTTTTAGTGGGAATAAGAAAGGAATATTCTATTGTTATTCTTGGTATGCCAAATCTGTGTTGCACAGACACGGATACGGGACACGAGATACAACATGACATGACACTCCGACACGTTAATTCTAAAAAATATTAAATTTAGACATGTTAGGACACGTTTTGATATTAAATAATATTTTTAATTTATGTAGTGTATATTATATTTAATATTCAATAATTTAACAAAAAAATAAAGCTAAACTTGTAATACCCATCAATTTTGCAAAGAAACATAAGATATCCCAAATATTTATATTAAACTCAATAAAATGGTAATCGTAATTCAACGAATCTAATAGTTGGAACTAAAAACGCAATGCAACGCAACCTTTGAACTCTTTTTTGAGTCTCTGCAACGCATATTGGAGTATAGGGGAGTGTCGGAGTATTGGAGAGTGTCGGACACGACACGTCAAAGTTTTTGAAGTGTCGGTGCATCATAGCGCCAAATCATATAACATTAGGTGAGATAGCGCCACATCATTGCAGTAACTAAGTTTTTTCACCTTCAATAAAATCTTTATTTTCTGTTTTCACACCTGGTTACAACATATTTGTTGGTCTATCTTGAATCTTTGATGTCTTTTCATATATCTATTATCATTGTCCTCTTTTTCCACGTAGATTTGCTGATTGGGTTGTCCCCTAATTTATTTTATTTTAATTTTATTTTTCTATTTAGCAGCTTTCATTCCAAATGTGGACCAACCAGATGCAGGAAACATTAAACTCGAAGAAGAAGGGGGATGCTGCTTTTCGTCATAAGGACTTTAAATCTGCAATTGATAGCTATACTCAGGTTAGTAATTTTATTGGCTCTTAAGTTGGTTGTATTGAACTATTGAAGAATATATAAAATCACTTGCTGTTCTCTTCTTGCTGGGTCGATGGGATAACAGGACTTGCATCTGTTTGTGATGGTAAATTCATTATAGGAAAATGGCAATTTTCCTTTTTGAACATGGGAAGAAAGTGATGCAACTCAAATATGGGAAAGTGAAACCGTATTACATAACCTCTCTTCTCTGTCTAGATTGATATTCAAGATAAAAATAAAGTGAATAATCTCATGGATTCTGTTTATTAATAGGTTGTATTCAAAATATACTTGATAGATATTGGAGCAATTATGATGTGCAGCTGATGGTTTCCTTATGTAATGCAGTTCATTGATGTTGGAACCATGGTTTCTCCGACAGTTTATGCACGTCGTAGTCTGTCTTATCTCTTTAGCAATATGCCAGATGAAGCACTTAATGATGCATTGCAGGCGCAAATAATATCCCCTGTTTGGTACATTGCATCTTATTTACAAGCTGTTGCTCTTTTAGCACAGGGCAAGGAGAATGAGGCCCAAGTGGCACTTAAAGAGGGTTCTTCGCTTGAAACTAAAAAGAGCACAAATTAGTTGGGGTCGTTAGCCAAATCTTGTTTTCCTTTTCCTGAAGATAACTTACATAGAACACGTGCTGGTTTCTCATTGTTTGGGCAAATTGACATGGGGCACCAGTTCCTTAAAGTTACAATTGTGTTACATGGAATAGAGTGGTTTATACTTGTGCATGACTGGTTCATTGGTTGCCTAGAAGCATTCTTTTGCACAGACTAGAGTGACAGCAGATTTATACAGTATCTATATGGTCTGGACTATGTTTGTATAAAGAGCATGGGAAGAATTTAAGAAACCTTTGTAATAGAGTTGTATTTGTAAAGGTTTCACATGCCAGTTTATGTCGGCATTTCTTGGGTAAATAGCAAATGTTGTTGTTGTGCTTGTAATTTAATGTACAGAACAATTGGGTATGAAATAGGCTGTTTTTGTATGTTATATTGATTTTGCATCTAATAAATTTTTAATATTTTCTTGCTTAAATCTCTGGATTGTCTCGTTTCATTTGATCGTGTGGAGATGTTGACTTTGCCTAATAAACCATTTGCGACTAATTCCATCGTGTTACCATCGGGTTTCACATGGTTATTAGCAGGAGAATGTTATGTTAAAGAGAGATAAAAGACACAAATAGCTTTTTGGTGGGAGGTTCTTTTGAATCTATCTGTTTCCAATAAGATGGTAAGGATTTTAGTCACATCCTGTGTAGGGACTGTTACCACTATCATGATTGTATCAGAATGCATGTTTTCATTACTTTTTTTATGATATTTCTTTCTTTCTAGTAATATCAAAACCAAAGTGTGGAGCTTCAACATAGCAAAAAAAATTTTAAAAAACATTTTTAACGAAAGGGCCCAACCGGGTTCGAACCGGTGACCTCTTGATCTGCAGTCAAATGCTCTACCACTGAGCTATGGACCCTGTACTGTGTTGCCTTTTGTCAACTATATTTTATTATATAATCTATTATGGGAAGATCAAGGCTGCCAAAAAACGATGGCTTTCAGTTGGTTTCTTTTCAATATCGACATTAAATAAAAAATTTATTTATTTAAGAATAATTGAGTATAAATTTAAAAAATATCAATTAATTATTTTTTAAAAATAATGCTATAATTGTTTTTATTTATTTAAAATAAAAAGAAAGAAAATAACATTTATTCCGCTAGCTATGTATGACTTTATACTTCTTAAAATAAATTTTATAAAGTAACACTAAATATCAAAATCAAGTTTTATCATTACATATATATATATTGGAAATGTTATTCTCCATATGTAGGAATAGTGAACAGTATTTTCTACAGAGATATTGATATTTGAGTTTTTTATTTTTTTTGAAACATAAATGATGGGATCCACATACATCTGTGTCTGCAGGAGAATGGTCTTGTCAACAGTAACATAAGAAAATTAATCCTATATATATATATAGAGAGAAAAAAAATTACTCTTATGCAACATAGGAGTAGTTTATCTTCTATAAACCCATCGAAAACCGTGACACTCTTTTTCCTTTTTTTTCCTTTTTATGTAAATAATGAACCCCACCACATGTGTCTCTACAACATAAAATATACTCTATCATGTAACATGAGATTAAATGAACCATATATATATATATATATATATATATATATATATATATATATATATATATATTTGGTCATATCAATTATTAACATCCATAAACGGAAGATAAAAAAAACATTAGATGGGAAGCACAACAAAACAAAAGCAAAGTCATGATGTGCATTAACAAACAAAAGCCACAACAGCAATCCCAAGAAGAAAGAAGAAAAAAGCAAAATAAAATCCAGATAAATATTACTCTCATGAGAGCCCCAAGATTCTATCAATGTACCTTTCAACTTCCAAACCAACCCATAAAACCATTAACCATATATATATACACACAGAGAAGAGAGTTTGCCATGACATGACCCAAAAAGGGACCTTTGACCACATGGTCAAGCAGCTATGTTTTCCTCTTCTTCTTCATCAACCTCATCTTCTGCCATTGCTGCTGCATCTTGATACTGTTGGTACTCAGCAACCAAGTCATTCATGTTACTCTCAGCCTCAGTAAACTCCATTTCATCCATACCCTCTGCAGTGTACCAATGTAAGAAAGCCTTTCTCTTGAACATGACAGTGAACTGTTCCGAAACACGCCTAAACATCTCTTGAATGGATGTGGAATTTCCCATGAAGGTGGAGGACATTGATAACCCTGTTGGTGGGATATCACAAACACTTGATTTCACATTGTTTGGTATCCATTCCACAAAGTAGGATGAGTTCTTATTCTGCACGTTTATCATTTGTTGATCCACTTCTTTTGTGCTCATTTTGCCACGGAACATTGCTGAGGCTGTGAGGTACCTTCCATGTCTAGGGTCTGCAGCACACATCATGTTTCTTGCATCCCACATTTGTTGTGTCAGTTCAGGAATGGTCAGGGCTCTGTACTGTTGTGAGCCCCGAGATGTTAAGGGTGCAAAACCAACCATGAAAAAGTGTAGTCGTGGGAAAGGGATGAGATTAACAGCTAGTTTCCGAAGATCAGAGTTTAGTTGTCCTGGAAACCGTAGGCAACATGTTACTCCACTCATTGTTGTTGAGATCAAATGGTTCAGATCACCAACTGTGCATGCCATGCCACCAACAAAACACATTCATTCATATATATGTTGTTAGAGATATAATATAATCATTCATGTCCCTTTCTCGACTTAAATTTTCAGGAGAATTGATTCGTGACATGATATCAGATATTCTAACATCAAGTGATTTAGAGTTTGATCCTTACCACTTAGCGTTAGAGAGATAATAAAATCATTTATGCATTAATTCTTACACATTTTTTTTTGTTACAAGTGATTGGTGAAAAATTAAGCACAAAAAACTGTGGTGTGCAATCAATAAGACATGCTCTTGCATTTTCATTGGTTATTCTATTATCAATGTGAAATTGCTAGACATGTGTTTCAAGGCTTGTGGTGACAACACTTACAACTTGGATTTGTGAGCTTGAGTGTTCGGAAACAGATATCATAGAGTGCCTCATTATCAAGGACCATGCATTCGTCTGCATTCTCAACTAGTTGATGAACAGAGAGGGTGGCATTGTAAGGTTCAACCACGGTGTCAGATACCTTAGGGGATGGGAACACTGAGAAAGTTAACATCATCCTATCTGGATACTCTTCTCTGATCTTTGAGATTAGAAGGGTACCCATTCCAGACCCAGTTCCACCTCCCAGTGAATGACAAATTTGGAAGCCTGTCATCATTGCATACACATACATAAAGCCATAAACAAATCAACAGCTTTTAAGTAAATAACGAAATGAATCATCTCATATCTTATTTAACATTTAACATCACCATGTTTTCATGTGAGATGATATCAACAATTTATGAAGAAATAAAGTGTTCTTTCCTTTCATATCTCATTTAACATCACTAGGTATTCATGTGAGATGATATCAACAATCTATAAAGAAATTAACTGCTATTTCCTCACTCTCTATCCTAATGCTTTCTCTCCTATTGATTTGTTTATAAACACTGATGTTGTCTCATGTGACCTGATCATGTTAAATGAAACATGAGAGGATCTATTCTATTCTCACTTAACAATAACATGTCACAATGCATGGACATTAAATTTCTCAAATTACTTATAACTTAAGTTAACTAAATGAGGTGAACTAAGGAAATACCCTGCAAGCAGTCACAGTTCTCAGCTTCTTTACGAACAACATCAAGAACAGAATCAATAAGCTCAGCTCCCTCAGTGTAATGCCCTTTAGCCCAGTTGTTTCCAGCTCCATTTTGACCAAACACAAAGTTATCAGGCCTAAAGATTTTTCCATAAGGACCAGAACGCAAGCTGTCCATGGTTCCTGGTTCAAGATCCATCAACACAGCTCGAGGGACATATCGTCCACCATTTGCTTCATTGTAATAGACATTAACCCTCTCAATTTGAAGATGAGAGTTTCCTACATAATTTCCAGTGGCATCTATCCCATGTTCATCACACATAACCTCCCAAAACTTGCCTCCAATTTGGTTTCCACATTGACCAGCTTGAACGTGGAGGATTTCTCTCATTTTTAACAAGTGCCCTTGATGATTTCAAAAAACCTCAAATGAAAAAAAGAAAGATGATTCAACAAAAAGCTTCAGAACTCTAACACTGAATCAGATCAAGTACAAGTTGAGAAGGGAGGGTTGGAATGAATGGCCTTTTGTAGGTGCAATGCAAGATGAGATAGGATGATAAGATTGATAAAATTGGTACTTCCCTTTCTGTGAAAAAGAAAATATATTAATAGAAGTTAAATTAAATGTTCATGTGGGTTTGTTGGGAAGGGGCCATGTCAAACTCCAAGAATGACTAATGAGCTGGATATGGAAGGTGACAAGAAGTTGCATGATTGTTCTCATGAGTCATGACCTTATTATGCTAGCTAGCTATCTGAATTATAAGTCCTTCCTACCACTTGATACCCCATCTGTCAATATACGATTTCAAATTGTCCATTTCCTAATTTGGTCACAATGCTTTTCCACAGTGATTTGACAACGAATTTTCACCTCCTTTACTAGACAATTATGTACATATTGATACCATTATAGGCTTGTCACCGAGAGTTGAGGATAGCTTTTGACAATGTTAAGAAAAGATACTACATTCAATGATTTTTCTGCTAGATGTTGTTTACAAGTTTTTGGTTTATGTTTTGAGAGGCATGTTATGCTATCCGTCTTAATCCTTAACAAAATTGAATCAATCACACGGGCTGAGTTGAGCCATGTCAAGTTTAGTGGCAAGCAATTACTAATTTCGGTTATATATTACTAGAGATAAAATTATGTATGTCCTTAGTCATATAAGGCCCAAGTGAAATACCTTGATAGAGAATATGAAATTAATTATTAAGAGCATCAGTTGCAACTTGTATCCTTCTCAAGACAAACTATTTTAATACCCACCAAAAGCAGTAGTTAGCAATTGATGAGGGAATGATTGGTCTTTCTTTAAAAAAATTAATTAAAACATCTATTCGTTCTCATGTAGTCGAGGGTATAAAGGAATAAAACTCACAATATGGCCTATTCACTCGCAAGTATTCATGGAAGAGCTGCAACTGATAGAAAGATTATTTATCAATTTTTTTTTTTTTTTTTGGATGTTGTTTATATACAGAAGAAAAGAGATTTAATTACAAATGAGAAAATCTTAATGAGTTAAAGTAGTTTTATTACATGTAAATTTGTACATAAAATGAAAAACTACTAAGGAAGGAGTATGCACCCTTAAATTTTAATGGGTTACGAAAATTACATAAATAATGAACACACCTTTACTTGCTTATATTAGAGGGGTCTTATCCATACATAAAATATTAATGTTATGTTTCGTTAATGTGTGCCTTAGGGCATGTTAAATAATAATAAAAAAAAACTATTAAACGAAAAGTATTAACATTAATATTTTAAAACTTAAAAGACATTTAATACTTTTTTTTTGAAGTAATTAAGATAACGAATAAATACTATTTTCATTCCTTAACCTGTGTCCTAACTACACACTTTAATAATAACCCTTAATATTATTCTCGAATAAATTGATTTGTAATATAATGAAACCAAAATAGTTGTTTATATATCATTTCACCCAGCTAACGTCTGATTATGTTTGTTAAGAAAAAAAAAAGGATTTAAGTAAAGTGGTAGCTAGTTCTTCTAATGTCTGGCGATTGCGACAGACTTGATAGAAAGTGAACAGAGGTTTAAGAAGAGGGTAGAGTTATGCTGTTAGATAAATCGTTTGCAAGTCATTGGAAGAAGTAAAATAAGGTAGCCTATCGATTCTAATTTAAAATCAGGCTCAAAATTAGATTTTTCTATCCATGGCAACCACCTACCTCTCCCTAATCCCATCAATCACTCTCAATGTACATTCAGAAGCTCGCAAGTGCAGTGCTTGTTCCATGCTAAACGGTTCACGATCGGTGTTAATCTATTAAGTAAGAAAATGCTAGTACAAGGTATAGCTGAAATATCAACTAACTGACGTATGATAATAAAAACGACCTTAATATTTCGGTTGGTTAAGATGTCTCTTTCTAGTAGAGCATAGATAAGGGGAAAATTGAACAATAACGTAAATAATAATATTGCAAAAATTTGAAGAAGAAGAAAATGTGATGAAAATATGAACTGGAGAAAAAGAAAAGAAAGTTCGTTTTAGCAACATTGGTACCTAAAACAAGCCATTAATCTATTGATGATGCTGATGTGATTTCCAAACTCATGACATGAATTACATACCAGCTTTATCAGATCATGTTTCCAATGAAAAGTACATGAGAAGCCTCAAAGCAAAAATTACATAATCAATTATTTCCTATATCTAAAAGCATCTCATGACTCGAGAGAGATGACCAGGATTATAAAAAAAGGTTTAAACACAATTCTACCCAAAAGAGGAGGTTTACACAGTTAACCTCCCACTGAAATGTGAAAAAGAAGCGAGTATTTGATTACACCTCAATAAAGCAATTCCTCAAATACATTATCCACAGATTGCTCCCACTTTCCGTGATACAATTCCAAAAGCCTCTCAGCTGGGGTGACACCTGCCACCACAAAGATTATTAGACAAAATATTAAACAATACAAAGAGAAAACTTTTCATGAAAACAACAAAAAAGCCTGAGGAAGGCAGCACATCATGAGTATGCGTTAGTAAAGAAAATCCACTTCAAGATGTTATGTAGGTATAAAACTCTGGAATATATATGGGAACACAATTGAAATTTTGGCACCAACTTGCGTAAATTTTAGATGCCATCGTATTTATAGCTAAATTAAAACACTTAACATTTGCTTCGGTAGATTAAGATGGGGATGGGTTGAAAAACATGTTAAAAACACACTCATTCTAATTTCCTCGAGAGGATTTAGATCAATATCTCACATGACAATTGTCTCGAACCTTATTTTAACTAAGGTTTCGGTTACAACCATTTCAGCCTCTTTTTTAATAAACAGTAAACTGAATCCACGTATACAGGAATTATATAAACAAAAGCCCTTAAGAAAAAAAAAAAAGAGGGAAAATAAAAGTAAAAGATAGGTTTAAATATGATTTTGGTCTGTACATGTAACACTCCTTTTTAGTTGGGTCCTTACAAAAAAAAAAAAATCAATTTAATTTCTATATGTGCAATCATTTTCAAATTCATTCCTGCCTTTGTCACCGTTATAACACCATTAGATTGGTATGGAGTTGCTGTTAAATATAGAGGTCAAATTGAAAACAAGTGAATAAAAGGACCAAAAATACAATATAATTACTTTTTTATCCCTATTCATGACACTCATCTCTAATTTGGTCCCTACACTATCTTAATACTCCAATAGATAGTATCATAACAACAGACAATGAGAACCCAATTAAAAAAAATTGTACATATAAGGACTAAATTGGATAAGTACCAAATTGAAAACGCACCAAAAATATATTTTAACCTAAAAGATAAAAAGCTAAAAGCTAATTTGGACTCGAGAATCAACCACAAAAACTCCACATAATCAATATTATTTATAAAATTACAAACTAAAATTGATGGAACAAGTCAAAGTCTAGATGTAAAAAAACTCTTTGCGCTTTGCAGAATTGAAAGGAGAAAATCTTGGAACAAAGGAAACACGAGAAACAGAAGATTTCAAGTAGATTAAAAAAGAACCATATACAGGAAAACAACACGGCATGTAAACTTTAAGTGTCTGGTGTCCCATCAGAATTTTACATTTTCTGACATGGATAAGGCTCTTTTTTTAAGTGTCTGCTTCATATAATCACTATATCAATGGAACTGAATCATAAAAATGTTCAATTAGAGAACAGCACATTTGTTCAGTGCACTGAAGAGAATCTCTAGCTAAATAAGGGCCAAGGAGATATAAATTATGAATGTTTGAATCTAACTGAAACAAGTTGGGGAATGTTAGGGACGAGACTCAAGTTGTTGGGGGGAAAGTGTTAACAGTGTGTATTAGAAAGAGTAAGAGAAGCCGTTAGGTTAGTCAGGGAATTAGGAGGACAGTTACTCAATTAGGATGGTGGTTGGTTGGATAAAAAGCAGAAATTGTATAAAGGATTTTCTTGTTGGGTGTGACTCTTATTGGCGGAACACAGGGGTCCAATGAAGCCGCCTGGCAAGTGCTCCCGGGACCGCGGAGACCTGATATTGTTGTGGGCCTTTGATTTATATTTTTTCTTTTTCTAGTAATTTGGACTTGAATCCATAAATAGCTGTTGTTATTTAGGGTTTCTAAGTCTATTTATATCTCCCTTGTAACCAAAGTGTTGTGACTGCGGTGTGGAGAATACAGTGAATATTGTTGGACGTAACTCATATTTGGTGAACCAGGGAAAATTCTGTGTCTTCGTTTTCTTCTCTTCTCTCTTTACTAATTTGCGATCGTGTGTGTTTGTGTTCGTTCCCAACACTTCTTGGGAAATAATCCGTAACCAAGCACATTTCTCAGCTGTAAAAGGAGACTCTCCTTGGATGAGATCACTCTCCTTGATTTGTGATACTCGAAAACAGAGATTATCTTTCTCTTTCATTCTCTTATCTCTACATTTCTAGCTCTCTATTCTCCCTAAGTTATTATCAGGGAATGGAATGAAATAGGGCCTCTGGCAGCATGGCTTGGTTGTGAGAGATGCACATTAATGAGGATATAACCTATAAATACATTACCTGTTCTAACCACCTCGGCTACCTCATTTAAAAATCCTGATTCCTTAAAGCCTCTTCTTTCCAAGCCAACCTGTAGATACATCAATGCCCTTAGCAACATTGTTGATAACAGCAAAAGTAAAAACAATGACACCTTACCTTTGCCAACTTTAGAACATCTTCAGCAACATGCTTCAGCAAACCGTCTCGGAATGGTGTCCTTAGACCAGTTATAGTAACCTACCAGATAGAGACTCTAATGGTCAGTATAGACATCTAGTATGAATAATGACTATCACTGAAACACAAACTGTCACATAATAAAATATCAACTTATGACCACTGGGTCTATGACATATATCAATCCTTATGAAGAAATCAGAAGAATATCTCGAGGCTGAACTCCCAGTATACACGTGAACATACATGCATGTGTGTGTGTAAGTGAGAGAGACCTAAATCAGAGAAGAAACGCTTATTCACTCTTCCAGGTTTCAAATGATATTTACCCCTTTTAAATTCAATAACATAACAATAGAACATGCAAAAATTAAAATACCCTCCTTTTATCCTTCTTTTAGGTTTGCACCTAACTGAAGCTTTGACACAGATTCAAAGCCACTTTGATCAAGACGAGAGTTCAATCCTCAACCCCCCCCCCCCCCCTCCCTCCTCCCTCTCTCTCTCTTAACCTTCTCCTTCCCCTTCTCTGAATTAAATTTCAGCAGAAGGTTCAGCAAGTCCATGCTTCAATCCCAAAGGGATTTCGCATGAGGGGCATGTTGGAGAATTAATTTTAAAAAAAAAAACATATTTCTAGGACTTTACCTAACAACTTATGCAGTTGGGTTGAATAATACCAAATGAAAATAATTGTTACTAAGGATACAACCTTATTCCTTAGCATTTGTCTTTCTTCTGGAGTCCAATCTGCTGTCAAATCCAAAACACTTTGTAAAGAATCCTCATCGTACAATAACCCTACCTGACACAATTAGGAAAGTTACACTACAGTGAGCTTATGTACTGAATTGAAGTAGTTCATAAGTTAAGTGAAGAGCAAGCAAGCAAAGATAAAGGGCTTGAATATCACAAAATAATATAGAATTTCAAAAAATTATTATTAAAAATGTCATTCCTTTTGCTTTTATCACCATTAGAATGTTGTACAGATATAGTCTCCAAGAATAGGGTAAGTCACAAGGACAAAGTGTGACTTCAAATATCATGCACAAGTAGTCAAAGGCCACTCACCCAAAATGCTGGTAAAGCACACAACCTTCTCCAAGGTCCTCCATCAGCACCTCTCATCTCCAAGTACCTCTTCAGCCTGACCTGAAAAGAGTAATGGTTTATAATGACACAACTACAAAACTGCTGCAAAAGCAACAGAAAACGAGTAAAATTGTGAAACCAATTTAAACAAACCTCAGGAAATATAGTTGTCAAGTGATTCTCCCAATCATTGAGAGTTGGTAATTCACCAGGAATACAAGGAAGCCTTCCAGCCAAGAAGTCCTGCAATGAAAAAAAAAAAATTCTCTAAATTGAACAAATAACGGCTATATGAATACTGTGGTCAAGGAAAGTAAGTTTCACAATAAAGAATGGTTAGGCAACATAAGATAGCCTTAGATTACAAGAATATTAAAGATAGATGGGAACCCTGAAGGTCATTCCAGTACAATCGATATATTTCTGCTTCCGATAGACAAAATACATTGGGACATCAAGAGCATAATCAACGTACTGCTCAAACCTGCAATCAGAGAGTTTGAAGTAAAACAAGTGAAAAAAGATTAACCAAATCATTGCATGAAATAACATTGATAAAACTTCTTTCAAAAAAGGAATTCATTATGTAAGATGAAACATAGTACAATAATTATTTTTATTTCAACTGAACTATTACAGAAAATAATACATCTAAATTTTAACTTCGTATGAATACCAGTTCCTAAAGAGAAAATAACATGGGTACAACAATAAATTATAATCAATTATTCACTGAATTTTTTCTTCGTATTCCTTACATACGTAGGTTATACCAGAGATTATTAACATTTTGAATTTCAAATTTTAAGCTCAAACCATGAATTAAAAAGCTCATAGAAGCACACTAGAATAAAGAAATAAAAGAACATGGACTCCAAAAATCAAGGAATAAGTTGGACGGTGTGTGTATGACAAGGTACTTAGGGGGAAGAAATGTGCAAAATTCATGTTATCATACATATGACAAGAGAGCCCAAACTTCATCACATCAAAACCCTCCCTTTATATCTGGTCATAAGTAGTCTTTGGAAAATTTGCGAGTAGAATATCCTAACTCTTTATATCTTGATGGCAATAGGATCTTGAAAGTCAAAAGTTGACATACCCTAGCCATTCAATGTGCATATATCCAAATACATGTACTTTGGATTTTGGACAGTCAATATTAAGGATAGCTGAATCAGCAAAAGGATAAAAACTTAGACAACCAAATAACTGTACTTTATTTTTAATGCCTTATTTTAAATTCAAAGAAAATCTATAATCTCAGAGTAAGAAGACTTAGAAATAACAGTTTAAGTCTTAATTTGTCATAATTCAAAAATACTCTCTTACCCAAAGGAGTCATCAAAAACAAAGGGCAGCATGCCTGTGCGGTCCTTATCAGTATCAGTCCAAATATGGCTGTTTCAAGTGTACGAAAAATGGATAAGGTACCTTAATAATGCAAAGTGAGAAAGGAAACAACAGCATGAGAACTTCCATATACCTTCTCATACTAACAAAACCATTTGGCTTTCCCTCTGTGAAGGGCGAATTTGCAAAAAGTGCTGTTGCTATCTGTTGAAAATATATCACTCATTATATCCCACGGCACTGAACAAATTCCCTAATAAAAAAAAATGTCAATGTTTCTTACAGGCTGCAAAGCTAGGCCAGCGCGAAATTTCCTGATCATGTCAGCTTCAGAGCTAAAGTCCAGATTGACCTACAAGAGTAAAAGTTAAAAATATATTACTATCCAGTATGAGAGCTGATTATATGTTTGTGTCAGAAGATACTCTTTTCACCATGTTTAAGTAAGGATGTCTTTGTTAAAAATCAGCTCACAAATCATCACACATCTCACCTGTACAGTGCATGTCCTGAACATCATGTCAAGCCCAAGAGAACCAACTTTGGGCATGTAATTCTTCATAATCTCATATCTTCCCTGAGATACAACAAAACACTGTCAGACAGCAAGTAATTGAACTTCTAAGGGACAAGAAAGAAGCACTGTCATTGTTCAGTTACTAAGTGGAATAGGGCCTGCTATCAGACATCCCCAGATGGTAATTGCTCCATAGAGCAAAAAATAAATCGACAAAACCACAAACAGATACCATTGCTATGCTATTGAAAAGTAGGTTGTCACTTATTAAGATATGGAGCAATAATCTCTGGTATAACCATACTTCTGGTGTATAAGTGCCAATGATTCTAAAAGTTAAGCCTACTATGTCACCATATGTATGCTGTTAGGAACCCTCTATTTTGGAAAGCAGGTTAGAAGAAATAAGGATGAGCCCAATGACCTAGTCATGTAGGCCCTGTTAGTAATAGTAATTAGATTAATTAATATGGTTAGATATATTGGATATAGTTAACTGATATTAATTTATATTGTTAAATATATTAGATAGGGTTACTTGCCATTGATTGATATGACAGATAGGGTTACCTGTTATTAATTGATATGGTTAGGTGTAAGTAATAGACAGAGTTATTTGATTTTAGGAGATATTATTAGATACAGCAGTTAGGATTTCAAGATTTGAGAGGATGCTCGTCTAGGTTAGCAGTAGGATAAAAGGAAGTGTAGGGCAAAGACGGAGGCAATGTGAGATTAGAATTGAGTTGTGGGGAGAGACTAGACTCTCAAAATCCTAAATATCAATCACTGTATTCATTATATTCTCCTTTGTTTTCTCCATAGATCTCCTAAATTCTGGTCCAGTTCTATCATATGCATATCAGCAGGCTTAAAACACCAAAAGAAATAACTGGAAATTGTAATTTTAAGATGAGAGCCACTATGGTATAACCAGATAAAAATGACAACAGTTCATGCATCTATCACACAAAGTGACATAACAAAGAAGAAAAAAGTATGCACTAGCATAAGTTGCTGAATTCACCCACCCATCCACTCCCCTACAAAAAAAAAAAAAAAAAAAAAAAACCAAAAGAAGGATATTTGTTCATTCAAGCCCAACTTAAGCTATCAATCCTTGTCGACAAATTCTGTAGACCAAATATCACCGGTTTACACTAGTATTATCCAAATTCCACACGCCATTCCTGTCTGGGCTCAAGCCTGACAGATGAAAGGTTGTAGCAACTACCTCAAGTCATTATATATAATAAAAAGGTCTGGCTGCGAAATTTGACAGCTATTTAATCCTAAAATCAGGAAACAGCCAAATTCATCACAAGTTGATTAAAAACAGATGATTTCGTCCATTTAAAAAAGTCAGCTAAGTTATAACTGATACAATCAGTAAGTATATGAGCAAGATTTTATTTCTACAAAAAGTTGAGAAATCCATACATGATCAACCAGTTCAAGGACTTGAAAGATGGGAAGAAAGAACTACTACCTTTGGCATCATAGGTATGTCTTTGAGTCCCCACTTTGGCTGGAAACCAATACCCAAAAATCCAATTCCCATTTCCTCAGCAACAGCTTTAACCTATAAATAGAAGAATATGGAAACAATTAACAGATCTGAAGAAGTATCTAGGCCACTCATCAAATTACAGGAAAATCAAACACAACGAACAAGTACTAAAATTTAGCTTATCTATTATGTCACAACACACAAAGATAAGTTAAATGATTATAACTGTGATGATGATGCATATATATATATATATATATATTTTGGTGAATAATGATGATGCGTATTTATTTGAAGAGAAGATGGTTGCATAAAAAAAATGAATTTCTTTTTCTAATGGGAAAATAACAGATTTATTTGATGTATCTCATAAAAAGTATGCATAACTAACCTGATAGAGGTGTGAATTAACTTCAGCACAAGTCTGATGCAAGGTTTCAAGAGGAGCTCCACTAAGTTCAAACTGACCCCCTGGCTCCAACGATATGCTCTGCTTTCCCTGATTCACATATGTATGAAAAAATTTCACTTCAAATCTCCAACAATAACAAAGCATTTTAACAAATGAATTAAATTGTAAATCTCAAAGAAAACGTTTTAGTTCTTGTTCGTGCAAATATTAGCTTACCTGTTTGAGTCCAATAATTTTATCACCTTCCATTATTTTATCCCAGTCGAATCTCTCAGCAATGCCATTCAGCAACTCTGCTATTTGCTCATACTTCATAGGACGCAAGGTTCCAAACTCAAAACCAAACTTCTCATGTTCAGTACCTATTCTGCAAGACTACATGAATAACTTAACTGCCTATAGACACAAGAACTAGTTATCACATAAGAGACGGTTCAAATAAAAAAGCTTCAAGAAACCTGATAAGGTGCTATATAAACTTACTTAAAACACAAACTGAACAAGGGAAAATAGACTTCTCATGAGACCCTTGGAAGATATTCCCTCCGTCCACTTTTATCCATCGCTTTAGAAAAGTTTTTTGTCCCATTTTATCAGTTGCTTTAGAAAATCAATAAATTATTAGTTTTTTCCAACTTTACCCTTAGTATTAATAAGTGAGACAGAAGTTGTTATAATGATAACTGATAATAATATGAGCACTGATAAAGTGCTGTTGATCGTTGAAGCAGATAAATTTAATATTTTTATTTTTATTTTATTTTATTTTTAGAAATGAAACTTGAACACAACTTTAAAAATTTACATGCATCCAATGGACATGAACCTATATTGGTTATTGATGAGTTAAGTAAGAACCAAATAAGTGAAAAAAATCCATATATTCATTATCTTAAGGTTTTGGGTAAAGATATGGTATTAAGTCCACTATTGTAGTTTGCAGCTTAGCTCATTGACGGAGGTCTTTTCCCTTTTTGAATCACCTAACAAACACTCAAGCAAGGTTATCAAATCACAATTCAAATTGTGAATCGCCAAATTAAACTTTGAATCATGAATCATAAATTGTATCAAATCGTAAAAGATTCAATACCACAATGAAAAGTAGTTTGAAATGTATCATATAAATGATGTATCATGCTCAATGTAATAATTTAAACTACGAATTCACAAAATAGCTTAACCATAACTCTCACAAAACAAAATTGTAAGTAATAAGTCATAACTGAGTCACATAAAATGGCTACATGAAGCCATGTTTCAAAAGAAGAAAAATAAAGCAAGGGTATAACCAAATAAGGTGCATATAGAGGGAGCAATTGACTATGTGAAGCCTCCGGTTCAAAAGAATGAAAAAGAGCAATAGAATAGCCAAATGCATAGAGGTAGTGAGTGACTGTGCTAATCCCCTGTTTCAGAATAATAAAGAAAGGGCCGTGGAATAATCAAATAGGTGGCATTCAGTACTGCTCTTGTAGTTCCTTTTCATTTAACAATTTTAACTTATTTGACTTTTCAATTTCATTCATGAGAATTGATTAAAGCAAAACAAAAAAAGAAAGAAAAAAATTACTGAATCATTAAATTATGCCATTCATATCGGGTGATACGGAATCATACTAATTTATGCATATACTGCACGATTTAAAGCCATCTCTTATTTATACCACGTGATACAAATCACTGACTTTCCAAATCGCATCGTATCGAATCATGAGACTCAAAATTAACTACTCAAGTGTTTCATATCATTCTCCTACTGATATTCTGAGTATTCCAACAAAGGGTAATTCAATCAAATGCAATTGTTTCTGCCTAAAATTAAGACTCTTTCATGAATTTCTTAATTATTACACAACTTCTTTAAAGGTGAACCGATGGAGCATGATTAATAGTCCAGAAAATCCTAAAACCAATCATCACAATTTTCATTGCAAATACAAACTGTTGAAGGATTCCTGGTTGGGCTTCAGGAGTTGGGCCTAAAGGCCACTCTACCCGGGATCACAGTATTGATTGACTAGCCGAACCGCCTGCCGGTTTGGTAGTAAGCCTGCCTGAGCCCACTAACCTAGGACATGGGTCTGTCTGCGACCCACGATCTCATGAACACCACTATTTTGCCCACATCCACCACCTACGAAATTCTAGCTCTGGACCGCTTTCCACCCGGTCAACTGTCACCAGGGGCCTATAACAGCCCAAGACAGTGCCCGAAAAGGTACTACGACCTTACGCTTAGCTAATTCTATTATCCAGAGCATTCACCATCTCCAGGTGTACACACACCCCTGATTCATATCATTGAACTATTGGCTAGAGATATTGTGCTTTCGTTTTCTGGTCATCTCTATCTTCAGTCCGTATATACAATTACTAGCTCTTCAGTTATACATCTCCATTTGATCTCCAAACACAAACAGCACAGAAAATTACGTAAAACCAGATACATTAAACCCCAGTAATTCATGAAGAAGATTTTTTTTTAAAAAAAAAATACTATCTTCATCATAGGTTCAAACTAAGTGATATTCTGCTAAAAGGAAACAACGATTGTAAATCACATGTTTAAAGGAATGAACTAAAATTTAAAATAACATGAATAAAAAAATAAAAATAAAAATTCAAGGAAACAAGTTAGAAGAAAATGGAACCTCCATTTATCCTTGGTTTTACAACCAGAGGCAAGATAATCCACAAGATCCTTCTTCGTAAGTGGTTCAGTAACAACTACAGCATCTTCAGTGGGAGGGCTAGCAGCAACAATAACCCTACGGCCCCGTTTACACCCAACATCAGCAGCAATAATCCTCTTGTGCGAAACATGAGTGTTCCTGACAGAATCCCATGAAGAGGAAGAGAAAGTGTTGCTAACAGAGGTTTTACTAACATTGGACCCATCGAACTTATGTCGAGTTATGTCGTGGCGCATAAACTGTGATGATGAAGCTGCTCTGGAAATTACAGACATGGTGGTTGCTCTGCTGATGCAACAAAAAACAAAGTTTGATTGTAGAGATGAAAATTAGAAATTAACGAAGCTGTGTAATATGATGATTATATAAGTGTGATGGTGAGAGGGGATTACCGAGTGTGTTGTTGTTTAAAGAGGATTAGGGTTGTGGATTCGGAGGCAGGAAATCAGAGTGTAGGGAGAAGAAGAAGAACAACAAGAGGGAAAAGGGTCTTTTTCTACATTCACGGTCACGCACCGCTATTTCCTTTAAATTAAAAAAAGGAATAGAAAAGGATCAGTTTATATTAATTTCTCATTTATATATCTTTATGAATATAAATAAATATAGAATTTTCCCAATTAATACCGATTGGTCATTCTCATCATGGTTAACGGATGCCGTTGATGATTTGTATCAAGGGAAAAGTTCAACTCTCTCGTTTATTCTAGAATCATCTATGTTTTTTTGATTTTTTTATTATATATGCTCATATGATTTGTAAAAGAGTATATTTTTTTTATCATGTATGTCCCTATAATTTTTTACTTTTTACACACTACAGAGGTATTGGTGAACTTTTCCCTTATATAAAGAATATTAAATCTGACTTAGACATTGACCGACATATTGGATTAATATTTAATAAGTTATTCGTTTAATTGGTGGTCACAGTTCAAATCAGTTAATTCGGGTGAATATCTGCAAATTTATATTTTACACTTAAAAATCCAGTATAGAATCCACAACAAAGTCTTTTCACATCGATTTTCATAAAAATTTTGCTAAATTTATTATATATCTTATACATCAAGTTTTACAAACGGTGCAAAGCTCAGGAAGTTATAAACTAGTTTTGATTCAAGACACATTAATGTTGTGAAAACAATTTATAGTATGATCATCTTGACTAAACAAATCTACACTCAAAAATTTGAAGATTTTAAAATGAATATTTTAAAAATATTTTATTAAAAACCCACGCATGGGTTTTTTACTATTCACGACAAGACACACTGCAAAAATATTTCATCAAGGACTTCATTTTTAAAATGAAATTTGGAGATTTTCTACATAAAAACAAAGAAAATGAAATAAAAAAAATGAAAAGCATGAATGCACCTAGTCCTTGACATTGAAGTGGTATTTATAAACAGTGCGAAGAAAGTGACGGTGTTGGAACAAGGATAAGACTTAAGAGACATTATTTTGGTTGGAAACGATTCACATGGCGACAAGGTGGAAAGACTCGAGCTCAGAGCTAATGGCCTTGTGGAGTAAAAAGAAGATGATAATCAACGATTGGAGAAGGGAAGTGTTGGAGCAAGCTATGTAGCACCGATATTGACACGGGACACGGGATATGATACGACACGACACTCTGACACGTTAATTCTAAAAAATATTAGATTTCGACACGTTAGGACACGTTTTGATATTGAATAATATTTTTAATTTATGTTACGTAAATTATATTTCATATTCAATAATTTAACAAAAAAATAAAGCTAAACTTATAAGACCCATTAATTTTGCAAAGAAACATAAGATATCACAAATATTTATATTAAATTCAATAAAATAGTAATAGTTAAAACTAAAAATGCAACGTAACGCAACCTTTGGACCTTTCTTTGAGTTTCTACAACGCGCGTTGAAGTGTCGGGGAGTGTCGGAGTGTCGGAGAGTATCGGAAAGTGTCAGACACGACACGTCGGAGTTTTTGAAGTGTCGGTGCTTCATAGGGAACAAGTAGTAGAACCGATAATTGGAAGGAAAGGTTTCGTTTGGGAAGAATTATGATTTTTTAAATATTTTGGAACAATCTTGATTTATTTATTTTTAAATGCATGATCCGTGGATTTTTGTGTGACCCGATCGGGTCATCAATTTTGATAAAATTGGTCGATTCAAACCTGTTTTCACCGGTTTCGATACATGGCCGACTATTACTTGGCTCAAACGGGTTAGATCATCAGTTCACACGGTTCAGGTCATTCAGATCGGTTCGAGCTGAGTTTGATAACATATTTATATTATCAAATCTCCCAACACATTTTGTATGCAACGAGAGTAGGTATTTCTTTATTAAAAGAGTAAATACCATTTTTAGTCTCTGTCAATATCTACGAAGTCTTTTTTAGTCCCCGACAATAAAAAAGGACCAAATTGGTCCCTGAAATTACAAAAAAAGGGTCATGTTAGTCCCTATGTCAACTCCCAAATATGTAGAGTGGCCCTTTTCTTGTACTTTCAGGGACCAATTTGGTCCTTTTTTATTGCCAGGTACTGAAAAGGACTTCGTAGATATTGTCAGGGACTAAAAAGGGTGTTTACTCTTATTAAAAAGAAAAAAAAGAAATATAAGAGGAAATAATCATAAAAATAACAATAGTGTTTTTGCTCGATATTCCCCGTAGGCCGTAGCACTAAAAATATTTTTTAAATCTTGAAAGTATTAATTACTAAGCGATTCATTTTAAGCCGGTCACAAGTTACCTTCCTCTTCTTTGTCTTCCTTTTCATTCATTTTCATCATAATTTTAATTTCATAATTCGAATTATTCTTTGAGATGAGTTAGGTGTTTTTTTTTTGGATATCTCATAATTTATAAGAAACATGAGTCATGTTTATATAAGATTAATTTCAAATCAAGCGGTGTGACAATTATGGAACTCTCATGCAAAAAATTTCTATACTCAAAGGTATTCTTTCAAAATTTAAACTTTATGCAAATTACTCAAACTCTTCACTACTAGATCAATTCTAATTGTTAAACTTATATATAAAGGGTCTCACTCTAAGATGAAACATTTGGGCATCTCAAAGAGCTTCAGGAAAAAATAAAAAGGAAAAAGAATAAAGAATAAATTGGAGAGATGCGCTCCCCTCCTCTCAAACATGCATGCCAAGTGTAAGTGAACTAAAAAGCTCATTGACATAAAAAGACTAAATAAGAAAGCTTAACTTTTGGGATGGAGTTGTGCTTAATTATATGAATATAATCTTTAAAATAAGAGGGAGATCATATTTACTATCTCTTTTCTCTCATAACCTCTTACAATTATTTTTATTGTCCTTAGACTAAAATCAAATTAAAGGCTTTCACTTGATGTCATTTGATAACTGTTGATTTAATTTTGATCCGACGATTATAAAAGTGATTATAAGAAAAAAGATATTGTAATTTATAACCTCTCATTTAAAATAATAGTTTAATGATACTTGAATGTTGGATATGGCTCATACTTTGCATGTTATTAGGGCCCTTATTGTCGGGATAAGCAGAAAGATAATTGGGATCCGTAGATGTCAGGTACTGTTGTGGGCCTCTGATTTATTGTAATTTTTTTCTTAGTAGTTTGGCCTTGCGCCCATGAATAGTTGTTGTTAGGGTTTTATAATTCTATTTATATTCTCCTTGTAAATCGAGTGTCTTGTAACGAGTGGCAGTGAGGTAAATATAGTACAGATAAGCTGGACGTAGCCTGCATTGGATGAATATGGTAAATCACTGTGTCAATTTTCTCTTTCTCTCTCTTTTTTTTTTGGTGAAAACTCTTTCTCTCTCTTCATTTGTGATCTGTGTGCTATGTAAATTGTCGGTTTCCATATATAGTTTACACTTATAGTCGTCAGCCTCTTAGATCTTCACTTGGTGGTTGCAGAGGCTTAGGTAAGGTCATCTCCCTAAAAGTGAGAGAGTGCTCCCACACTTCCTCTTCCCCTTATAGTCTGGAAGATTTGTCATTGTTCAGCCTCAAGGAGTTTGTTCGTGTTGTGGTGCTAAGGTAAGTAGTTCGTAAAGAGGAATCGTACATAGAAAGATTATGCACAAGACGTGGACATCAAAAGGTAAATATGTAAAACAATGATGATCTGTTTGCATCCCAAACCGCAATGGTCTAAAACGCTTCCGCAGATATCTAATTGCTCCTACAATTTTACACGTCTAAATGACCAAACGTATTGAAGTGTTCAAGGCAAATTCCTTGACTTTTTTGAATGGACAAATGGGTTTATCTTTAGGGGCTGTTTGGTTGAAGAAATCTGAACAGAATGATAGATAAATCACAAATGGGAAAGGAAGAAAGCAGCATTTGGTGTGTTGGGTTTCCTCACTTAGCTAGATAACTGTGATTGAAGGCATTCCTATTTTCCTATGTATTTGTACTGATTTAGCCGGCCATAGAAACCCATTTGCAAGGTGGTATTGTGGAATACCTCCACATTTGCTCACTGACTGTACTACGAAAAAGACCAGCGTACCCCTTTTTTCTCTGCAACCGTCGCTTCACACCGCACAGCGAGCCTGCTTCTTCTCGCGTGCTGCTTCCCCTTCAACCCGGCGGTGGCAGAAGAGAAGCACTTTATGAGACCATGTTGCGGTGGTAGAAAAACGCTTCTCAGGTGGTATTGGGGTTTTGTTAGTGTGAATGGGGCAACAGAGGCAGTGGCCATGCTTCTACTTAGTACAGGAGCCATTTTCAGACCTAGAAAGAAAGAAAGAGAGTAACAAGGAACCAAGGACGTTGGGAAAGGACAACGGGTGTCTTCCCTGTTCATTAAAAAATTTATAAAGTCAGGGTTATTTTTATAATACCCACTGTATTTTCTCATCTATATGTTACCTACAACCAAACATAGATTTCGTGAAAGTTACCTAATTTTTTCGGTAAAATTTTTCCCAACCAAACAACTTTTTTTTACATTTTTCTACCTATCTCACTTTCCAACTATTTCCCTATATATCACATTTCCCTATTATTCATAAAATTTCTCCTTAACCAAACGCCCCCTTAGAGTAACACTGAAAGTTGTGTGAGCATTTTTAACTTTAAAGATAAAAGGGAGATTTTTGAATCTTATTCGAATAAGAGATTTCTCTTGCTAATATCATTTAGGGGCCGTTTGGTACCAGATATTTTTAGAATTCTCGAGAAACTGAAAGTGATAATCATATTTACCCATGATTGGTACATAATTTTTAAAATTTTCTCGGAAATCTGATTTTTCGGAAATTTTATTTTGTGTGTAATTTTCTTTGAAAATACCATCTAGGAATACTATCCAGGGGGTGGTATTATAGGATTTCTATGGCAAGAGAAAATTTAATACAACTAAACATAGAATTAAGAAAATTAACCCAATATTCCTGAGAATATTTTAGTCTACCAAACAACTTTTTGTTAACATTCCTAGAAAACTCATATTTCCATTATATTCCTGGAAATCGTGATTCCCGGATAAAAAAAAATTTATCCTCTACCAAAC